CTCCGGCGGGACTCGGGGCCGGAAAACCACCTCACAGCCCTTAGGTGTCCCCTTCATACACCGGGAGCCCCCCACCGGCTGGCCCCGGGGCTTGGGAGAGGAGTCGGGACTGAGAGGAAGCAGCCAGCAAGGGACCTGGCGTTTTGGAAACCCCAGGAGGGGGACGAGGGTAGCAGACAGTGCTGGGCAGGAGGTGGGGACAGGTAGGGGAGCTTGGGGGGACGAGTCTGGGCGCTCTGGGTGGGTGAGTGGGGAGCAGGGCTCTGCCAGGGTCAGCTGAGTTGTGAATTTTTTTGGCGGCATTATTTTCTCTATTGAATGAAAATGGCCAGTGTTTAGTGAAAAGCCCCAGTTTTTAATTTACCAAAATAAAGCAGATTCTAAAGATCTGAGCTGTGCAGGGCTGGGGATTTAGCTCAGTGGTTCCGCTGCCTGCCTTGCAAGCACAAGGACACGAGTTCGATCCCCATTACCAATAAATAAATAAATAATAAAAAAAGAACGGTGCAAAGTGGATCCATGAAGACAAGGACAGTATTTTGACAGCTTCTGAAAGATCCAACTGACTGCATATGGAAAGTTAATGTGGCTACTGAGCCAGGCCCATTTTGCTAGCTGCCCAGTCCAGAGATCACAGTTTTGCAAGAGTTCATTTGCACATTCGTAATGACAATAAATCAGCAACTGACAATTTGCTATCTTACACTGCATATTTAATTGCTGTGCTGGGTTACAGCGATATCACAGGATCAGTGGGAAGCTTGACAGGTTAGGAGTGACACAGGTTCTTTAGAACCATCAAAACCGGAATTTCCAATGCCTGGCACGCCAATCTGAGATTCATTATGTTAAAAAAAAAAAGAAAAAGTTTATTTGCAAGGCAGCTAAGCGCGGAAGGGAACATCTAAGCTTCAAGTCCACCTCCCTGAGGAAGGGACTGAGGGGTATGGATGGGATGTAAAGCCTCAGAGTGGTTCAAGGTGTGGGAAAGGAGAGTGGAGGTAATCAGTGGTCTGTGCAGATGTGATCAGACTCCTCGGTCTTCTTGTTCGGAAATCCCTGGCGCTGGCTAATCTGCTGGAGGAGTTTTCAGCCTGATGGATCGGAGGTAAGGAGAAGGTATCTGTGAGAAGCGACTCTGAATTAGGAGTCTGGAGAACGGAGGAGGTTGTCCAAAGCTGTCCAATGAGAGGAAAACGAGGACCTTGGAGAAAGTGCTCCTTCTCCCTTTCCGCTCTTGCTGCTGTTTCACGCATCCCGCTCTTCCCTAGCTGTGGGCTGAGGCCTGCTCTCCAGGGTGGCCGTGGAGGGGTCTCAGCTGATGCCTTCCGGGAGGTTTCCTGGCAGCATGAGCTTTGGCCTCACCTCTTCCCCAAAGGTACGAATTTAGCTCAGAGAAAACAAACTCAGCTCAGAGAAAAGGAAGCCTTCTAACCTGGACTCTAGAAAAGCAAAGAAAAAGAGAGCAGTCACTGAAGGCTCGGTGTAAGTGGGCGCTCCTGCTGAAATGATTCAGTTTGTCACCCAGCCTCTTTCACTTCCAGTTTGGGACCCATGGGTGATGCTGTTTGGGGGCCGCCAGTCACTGACGTACAACTTGTACCTGGAAGCCCACCCTGGGCCTCCCCTGGCTGGGGTCCACAGAAGGCCTAGCTGTGGCCTAGCGCCAGGCCATGTTCGACAATCAGGACCTTCCCGAGGCTCCTTTTACATCCCAGACGGAAAGGAAAATAACTGTCACATTTTGAAACTAAAGAATCAGCTGGCTCCGTGCTGCTTGTGGATTTTTTTGCTTTATTCTGTTTCAGAGGCTTCGATTCTCGCTGTGGATAAGAAGTGTTAGCGGGCACCTGGGGGAGAGGCAGGAGCGCTTTCCAATGCTGGCTGAGCACTCCAACACCAAAAAGAGACTGCCTTGGCAGAACGGGGAGCTAGAAGAGTGTGGGGAGTAGAAGCAGGTGCTGAGTGCTGTGCCTCAGGGTCCTGGGGGGCTGGGTATTGGGCGGGTTGAAGAAAATTCAGGGCTGTGGTGTAAGAACCTTGTGTCATAAGGGCAGGATAAGTGGGTGGGGGCTCTGGGCTGCAGCTGCCTGTGTGTGCACACGGCAGACAAAGGAGAATCAGCCAAGGATAGGGCAGGGAGCTGTGTGGAGGCCCAGGGGAGCCGGCGGCCGTTTTGGAAGCAATTCCCAAAACATCAGAGCCTTGACTCCTTCTTAGCTGAACTCAGATTGCCAAGAGGCAGCGAAGAAGAACCTGCATGCTTAGAACACTGCAGTGACAGATCCTGCAGGCTGTGTGTGTGTCTGTCTGTGTGACTCTGTGTGTACTTGTGGGGTTTATAGGCCCTAGGCAGCCTAAATGTCCTCCCCAAACCCAGACAATAACTTGTGGTGGGTGATTCCTTCAACCAGTGGGCCACTCACACACTGATTTGCCATTGGCCCACCTGCCCCTACGTGACAGTAAGTCACGTAAGAACGCGTTCCTTTGAGAAAGCATGTTAAGTGACTGATTATCCGCCCATGATATTCCGAGCGCCTTTCCTAAGAACTCTAACTCAGGGGTGTCACTAACTGGGACGAGCTCGGGGGCCAAGGATGGGTGATGGTGATAGAACTTTTATAAACAGTCTGAAATAAAAAAGGTAAGATAAAAGGAATGTCACTAGTCCTGATTTCCTAACTCTGACCCCCACGTTTGTGGGCTGGAATGGCTAAAGATAAACATCCTAAAAGAGAATGCTACATTTGGGTTAACATTGTTTCATCTTGTGACCATGATTTGTGGTAGGAAGTGTGGGAACTAAAATGTCTTATCACCTAAAATAAGGTCACGATTATGAGACTCCTAGGAAAGACAGACTGTCACCCAGTCCGGGGTGGGTCGTGTGGCACAGCCTCTGATTCAGGCCGAACCTTTGCTAGTGAAGCAAACTTTTTTTTTTTTTTTAATTTACTCCTACGTCTGTGTGTGTCATTAACCAGTTCCTTCCGCAACACTAGCGACTTCAGGGCCCCAGGCCCCACTCCTCCGGTCACAGGCATCCTGGAGGCCAGTGTGTGTCTACCCCGGATGGTCAGATGTGTCCGGAGCCCTGGCGAGGCACTGCCCGAGAGCCCGGAGCTGGGCGGCGTGAGGACCATGCTGTCTCCAGGAGGTGGCTCAGCTCGCAGGAGCTCTGAGCACTGTCCCTGCTTGTTCCACTTGGACCTCTGTGCTCCGCAGACAAGGAAAACCCCACCTTTGGGCTGTTTTCTTTAGCAGATCCCCCACGGTCACTCTTCTCCACCTCCACTCTTCCTACCGGCTCCAAAATCCCAAGAAAAGTCTCCCCTGTGGAGTCACGCGCCTCCTCTCCTTTCCGTGGCTGCCGTCACATCACAGGGTGAGGAGGTGATGGCCCCAAGACCTCTCCCCAAAGGTCAGAGGAGAGCTGGGAGGGCTGCCTGCCGTCAGCTCAGTCCTGTTAGCAGAAGCCAGGAGGATGGAAAGGAGGGCAGACTGAAGACAACCAGCGCCCATGACCGAATCTCAGCGGTTCCGAATTTGCTTCTTCAGAGATGAATAGAAAAATGAAGTGGCCAGAGGCAAGAGGAGGGGGCTTCCTGACGGGCCCTGTGACCATCTCAAGAGTGCTCCCCCGATTGTGGTGTCATCAGTACAGGGCCCTCACCAGAGTCCAGAGGCGGCCAGGACTGTGTTCCTAGACCTCCAGAGCTGTGCGCTACGTAAACCTCTTTTGTTCACACACTTCCCAGCCCCAGACACTTGCCTATAGTAAGAGAAAGCAGATGAATACACTTTGTACACCCTGCATATTCCTTTACTCACTTCATGTCCATGAAAATCCTGGGAAGTAGGGGCCAGTGTGACCTCCGTGTGACAGACAGGGAGGTGATCTCAGAGGCTGATCAACCTGCCCAGAGTCAAGCAGCCAGGACCCCGCAGAAGCGTCTGCCTCAGGCTGATGCTCCAACTTCCAAAGGCCCCAGGCTGCCGGAAGGCCTCCCCTGCGGAGGTCTGGTCAGGATGGGAAGCAACAAGGAAAAGGGCCTGGGCCAGCCCTGGCTGCAGATGCGGTTTCTGCTAGTTCTGTCTGCTGTGTTAGGGCCAGGGGTGCCCTCCGGAAATCACTCTACTTGGGGATGTGGACACGTATTTCCTGAACACCTGTCATGCACTGTGCTAGGAACTATACGGCTATTTACCCTTCGAAGCCCCACATCATTCCCATGGGTCGCGCGCCATTTTCAAAATGTTTTTATTTTATCAGAGTGATTCTTGCAAGCAGGTTAGAGTTAAGCCTTATGGAAACAAGGTTTATTATTCTTAAAAAAAGTGTATTCCCTCCACCCCGCACTGTTTCCCACTTTCAGATTCAAGCACTTCTAACTACTATAGCTGTTTCTTTTGTTTTTCAATCTTTTTTTTTTGTACCAGGGATCAAACTTGGGATCTTGCGCTTGCGAGGCAGGCAGGGGCACCACTGAGCTAAATCCCTGGCTCTTTTGATTTAAAAATGTACTTATAGTATTACTTCTTAATTTTTTAAGACAGTGGATCCTTGAGTTATGACCAGCCTTGACATATGAACAACTTGGGTTACGCCTGGAATTTTTATTTTAATTTATGAATAAAGTCTTGAGTTACAACCCGAATGCCTGCTGACTGTGTTTCCAGATGGTTTCAGATACAGATTTAACCCTTAAAGAGTTCTGGAAGGAACATTCCAACATCCTTTCCTGTGTGGGGTTGAGAAATCCTGGGCCAGCGTCTCTCAGGACACGGAGGTCTGCCTGACACAGGAGGGAGACTTTGAAGACTGTGTAGAGGAGCCTGGGCCTTCAGTTGACCGACTTGAGTTACAACCAGCCCTCGGGAACAAATTGGGTTTGTAAGTCAAGGGTCTGCTGTATTAGTTCTGGACTTGACAAAGTACTCTGGTTTCATCTCTCTTACTATCATTTCCATATTTCATTTTGAATTAGAACCTATTAGAACCTATGGGACTTCAAAATGCACATGCTAGATTTTTAAGAGCTTTGTAAGGATTTATGTATGCAGTGGCAAAATGTTTAAATTTGTCTGGCGATCCTGCCTCAGCCTCCTGGGTGCTGGGATTACAGGTGTGTACCACCATGGCTGGCTAACGTTTATTATTTATTTATTCATTTTTGTTTTGTTTTGTTTTTTGAGACAGGGTCTCACTATGTAGTTGAGACTGACCTGGAACTCACTATGTAGCCCAGGCTGGTCTCAAACTCACAGTGATCCTCCTGCCTCAGCCTCCTGGGTGCTGGGATCACAGGCGTGTACCACCATGCCTGGCTAACATTTATTGTATATTGGAGTCAACTGTCTTTTCAGGAACAAAATAACTATTGCGAGCCTCAGTCCCAGTCTTCTAACTCTTGGTCTTCTGCCCTGTTATTTGTTACCCATTTTAAAAACTAACACTGGTGCATGTTTATGGGGGACAGTGTGATATCTTAATATGCATATACAGTGTGGAATGATCGGATCAGGGGAACTAGTGTGTTTATCATTTCAAAGGGTTGGCAATGCTCTATGTTGGGAGTGTTCCAAATCCTCTGTCTTATTTTGAAATATATGGCTGATTGCTGCCAACCATAGTTACCCTACTAACACATTAGAAGTCATTCCTCCTATGCAGCCGCACCCCTGTATCTATTAGCCATGTCCTATCCCTGCTTCTCTCCCAGCTGCTGGTAACCACTCTCTGCTATGACTTTAGCTTCCAAATAGGAGGGAAAATGTGGTATTTGTCTTTCTATGCCTGCCTTATTTCACTTAATGTCCTCTAGTTCCATTTGTGTTGCTGCCGATAACAGAATTTCATTTTTTATGCCTGAGTAATATTCTATTGTGTATTACTGTCAATTTGGACTCCCATGACTTTATTTAACAGTTCTCCCAAGCTTTATCATAAATCAATACAGTGTACACTTAGGAAATCTTAATCCTTCCTAGTATCAGTCTAATAATTAGTTTTGAAACTTGCTACATAAAAACCTTTAGGTACCCTTCAAGCCACTAAGAGGATTAGCTAGTTGGGAGTATCTGTGCCACTATAGATAGCATTTTAATCGTCTATATTCTTTGTTATGTATTGTTGCATTACAGATCACCCCAAATTTTAGCTGTTTAAAATACTATCTCAAGCCATTTCCAGGGGTCAGGAACCCAGCACCATGTAAACAGCACAGGTCTGGCCTAGGTCTGCACTCTCAGGAGGTTTGGCTGAGCTGGAACCAGTTCCTACCTGCCGTAACCTGTCCACAGGCCGCTGCTGAGTGACAGGGCTCCCCTGAAGCAGATTTCAAAACGCGGGGAGGCAGAACGCCCCGATAGAGGCCACAGTCGGTCTATAATCCAGGGCAAGACACCACACTGCTATGTTAGAAGTGAGTCATAAATCAGTGCACACTGGAAGAAGAATTACACTCCACCCTCTGCAGGAGTGGATGTCAGGACGGTACCTGCGCTCGACAGCTTCACAGTCAGCCCAGATGAACGTCCTCCTAAGTGGGGTAGCCTCTGGGAACAGTCAGGAATGCGTCTCAAGCACTTACCGTGTGTCACTCATTTAAAATAAAGTTGGCCGAGCCGGGCTAGGACTCCGGGCAAGAGATCTGAGGTTCCGTGCATAAAGGAAGCGATTGTGTTTCCCACCCTGGCCAGACAGGTGTGTTTGTTCAGCTGCAACAAAGATGGCTGTGTAACTCCAATGTGTGAGACACGCACACATGTATGTGTGCACGACCCCACACTTACTCCTTCATTCGGTTTCCTACATTTCCAAGTTTGCGGTCCAAGTTTCAATGCAGGTTTCTCCTTCAGTCTGCAGTGGGGCAGATGCCACGGTTGTGCGACACTGAGGAGCCCATTCAAGCTTTTGGAGATCCACAAGGGGGCGGTAAACAGACACAGAGAGCAGCTGAAGCTCTCGGGGACAGAAGGTGGAAGGGAGCTCTGGGCCTGGTGCTCAGAAGGCAGGTCCTGAAGGTCAGTGTCAGCAGGCTTCCGTGAAAAACGAGGTAGGATTCTCCAGAAGCTCTTCTAAGCCAGTTTTTTATTAGGATCCAGCTTTATGAATAAGCCTAAACAAAATAAGAGGATGGTTATAAGTCAGCTGACTTCGACCTGACCACCAAACTAATGGAAAGACACGTACAAAGGAAGGCATTTACAATCCTATTTGTGCCTTCAGTCTCTCTGCTCACTGATTTTTCAGTTGAACAAAAATCAGCTTTTGGCTGCCACAATACTGCACAACCTCCCCCGGATAACTGGGCCCTCAACTACTAGGCCATTTCATGGTTCATTACCACTTCCATTAGAGATAACCAGCGAAATGAAGAAGAGAAGTGAAATTACAACGGAGCCATCTGGTACCTTTATGATAGGAAAAGGTTTAGTCAGACAGGAATTACAAGGTACAGCCTGGAATGGAGTTATAAATTGACTGCAGCTTCAAATTATTCATGATCCTTCTCCTACTCCTTTATCTATCATTCCTGCTAACAGCTGATACTTAGGTGAAAAACAAATTTCTTACAGGATACAAAAAGCACTAACCGTAAAGGGAAAAACATAATAAGCGTGACTACATTAACATTAAAATTTTCTGTTCATAAAAAAGATAGCTTAAAGCAAACAGAAAATCACTTACACACTGGAAAGAGACAGGCGCTATATACATATGTACATACTTATCCATATATACATGTGTGTGTGTGTGTGTGTCAACAGAAGGGGTAGTGCAGCATGAAGTATAAAAGGTATGCCCATAAATCAGCAAGAAAACGAAGAAAAGAAAAAAGATGAGAAAGCAAAGGAATTGCATGGAATGGAAAAAAATACAATAAGTAAACATATGACAAGATTCTCAACTAATTTCAGTCAGGAAAAGGCAAATCAAGATCCCACCAAGATACCATTGCGTAGCGATTTGAACTGGCAAACATCCAGCAGTCTGACTTTAGCAACTGTCAGAGAACATTCAGACACCACTGTGACTCCCTCGCAAAGCTGAATGCGTACTCTGCAGCCAGAAATTCTGCACCTCAGTGCGTGTCGTGTTGGCGAACCTTGCAGACGTGAGTGCCCAAACTGCAAGCCAAACCCACTTATCGCGAGGTGCCAGTGCTGCGATTAAACCAAATACTGGGGGAGTTTTCGTTTAGAAAGACTCCTGCCCTGGGTTCGCTGCCACTGGAATATAACAGGCTCTCACCTGTACACACCACCAGGAGACCCAAACCAGGAAAACGTTCACAGCAGCTCCCTCAGGACAGTCAGAGGCTGCCGGAAGAGACAGCTCTTCGCGGTGTAGTCACCCAGGGAGCACTATTCAGCAGCAAAAATGAGTGACTGCACGGCCAGCAGCGGGGATGAACCGCTGCCACACTGAGCGCCGTGGAAAGGACAAATCAAGCCCCAGAAAAGCACACGCAGTATGTGTCTATGAGGTTCAAAATCAAACCGAACAATATATTCCTTAGATATATTCTTTTTTAAAAAGTTTTATCTATTTTATTTTCTAACAGATTAGCTGTTTTTGTTTCAACATTTAGGCTTTTGATTCATTTAGATTTTATTTTAGTGCATGGTGAGAGACATGGGTCTAGATTCAACCCTCTCAGGTATAACCAGTTTTTCTAGCACCATTTTTGTTTTTTCAGTACCAGGGATTGAACTCAGGACCTTGTGCTTGCAAGGCAGGTGCAGTGCCACTGAGCTAAATCCCTGGCCCAGATAAAATTATTCTTGATGAAAATTTGAAAAATAAAAACAAGAAGGCACAAAAGAATGGAAAAGACAAAACTAGATTGCTAGTCCTGTACCAGAGGTGACTGTGTGTCCTAAGTCATCTACATGTGTACGCCCAAGGTCCCTTACAATAAAAGAGAAGGAAAACCCCTGACGTTCAGCCTGTCTGATCCGAGGCCAGTGAAGGGAAGGCTTCGAAGGCGCCTCACTTGCAAAGGCCCGGGGGTGGGGGGGAGCCAGGAGCCGCGCGGTGCTCCAGACTGCAATCGGGAGGCATTCCTGTGTGGGGTTTCCAGTCACTGCCCCTGGAGATCACCCAAGGAAGGGTCTGCCACCTCGAAGATGGCAGTAATAGGCTGTAATTTCCTTTCCTCCCTGGAAGGCTTGACTTTGAATTCTTTGTCTTAATTTGGCCCCATAAAATCTAGCGCCTCCTGGTAATCCACTCACATAACCACTTTTCTAAAGGTACAGTGGAGGGCGGGGGATTTAGCTCAGTGGTTCCACCGCCTGCCTCATAAGCGCAAGGTCTGGAGTTCGATCCCCGGTACCAAAACAAAAGAAACTAAAGGCACAGCGAAGTCTCCCTTTCGATCTGCCTGGTTCCCTTCTCAAGAGAAGCAAGTCGTGTGTGCGATCTTCAGGAGACATTGTGCATATGCGCGCATAAGCACTGATCTTCCCTCCTCGCTACTTTTTACTGTGAAATAGTTTCAAGCTTACAGACGATTGTGAAACTAGTACAAAGATGTATTTCTCCCCAAACTGTTGGAGAGTTAGTTGGCAAAATGCGTGTAAAATGACAAGTTGTTCGTTACAGTACTACTTGCAAACTGGGAAAACACACCCCCGATGTCTCCAGTTCCACGCAGCCACAAGATTCCTTCTACTTTCCCTGACTCTTCTCTGACCGTCCGCACCTGGCCCCCATCACGTCTGCCGGCCTGCAGATGGCACCCTCACCCTGCAGGGGCTCCGACGCCCACGCCACTCTCCGTGGGACGCCGGTGCTCTGTTCCTGGGGCTCTGACACCTGTGCCGGGGCCTCCCCTCGTCACTGCGCCCACTGTGCCCACCCTGCCCAGTGGCCTTGGAACAAATTATCGCGGAGGGAAGGAAAGAAACGACAGCCTCTTCCTTCTTCCTACACTAGGGGTCGCATACTCTACTTACTATGCTGCTTCTTGGGTTTTCACTCAGTGTCTGTCAGCGAGAAAGCTCCTTCCTAAGCTCCCTCACTCGTCCCGTGGCGGCACAATGCTCCGCAGTCTTCTCTATGGCACACACTAAATGCCGTCTGGGGATGAACTACGAGTACTTAACCAATTTGTTTAGCGAACTTTTTGCTATTGCAAGTAATAATGGAATGTACAAGTACGGGAACTATAAGACAAATATGTTAAACGCTGTTCACATATTAGTACATATACCTGTGAGATAAAAGCCCTGGAAGTGATTCAAAGCACACGGAAATTTATAATTTTTTTTTTTGATACAACGCCTCGTTATATAGTTCAGGCTGGCCCTGAACTCACTAGGTAGCCCAGGCTGGCCTTGAACTTGAGTCGATCCTCCCGCCTCAGCCTGCCAAGTGCTGGGATCACACATGTGCACCGTCACCATCATACCCGGCATAACTTTGTAATTTTGATGATTCTGGCAAAAGCCCTTTACGTGTGGCAAGACACAGTACAAGGAACCTGACTTGTTCTGTGGATGACATGTAATTAAGAATTGCTGGGTATGGGTGGTTCATAAAACCAAAGCAAACAAAACAAAACAAAACTAGAACCCAACCCAACCTCCCAAAGAGTGTGGCAGCTCCTTACTTGTTGCCTCTGAGTACAAGGTCTCCTCATCGACACTCCGAACATTACAGGAAACAAAAACTTTCCTTCCTTCGACTTTATCAATTTGGCTCTTCATCACAACCACAGAACAAAGGGGGATAGGTCTGCAGAAGTGGAAAAAAATACCCATTTTGGTAAGGTTGTATAATATTGACAGATGATCAAGGGCACGGCAAGGGTGACTTCTGTGACACTTGGCACCGGCGAGCAATGACGGAACCTCGCTCGGGGCTCGAGTCTCTTGCCTCTCTCACCCTAACCCAGTACCCCTGCTCTCCCAGGCTGCAGAATGGATGGGGAAGCTCCAGGCCGCCCCACCGGGCCGGGTTCTGAGACACGGGGATTCCAGCTCTGTGTGGCAGGGACTGTCCCGTTCAGAGAACAGGTCTGAGGGGAGCTGAAATCCCACCAGGAAGGGGAAACAGGGCCCTGAGGTGGTGGTCCTCCGTCTGCTTTCCATTCTTCTGTCAACCTCGATTTCTCAATTCCCTTAGACAGCAGTCACTGGAAGGACTCCTAATGACAAGCGTCCGGTACCAGCTTACTGTTCAAGCCAGTGCTGTCCAAGAGAACTTCCTGTGATGATACAAACGTTCCGGTATGTGCTGGTCCAACATGGGACCCCATGGAGCTGCTGAGCACTTCAAATGTGGCTGGTATGCACTGGAAATCGGCTCTTTATATTTATATAATTTTGACTAATGTGTATATAAACAGCTACATGTGACTAGTGGCTACAGTCGCTTTTGGGAATCCTGGAGGTTTCCCACAGTGGGAAAGGTATCTCTTTACAGGTGAGGTTTCAGTTGGTGGAGACATAAGGCAGGGCATGGAAATGTGTTTTCTGCTTCTACGGGACCACGACGTGGGACAAAGGAACAAGTCCAGGTAGAAAGAAAGTTCTCACTTTAATGATCCCCCTGCTGAGATTAAAAAATTGAGATTATTATGAATAACTTCACATCAATACATTTGAAAACTCAGAGGTAATGGAAAATATTTTTTAAAATGTCACTAAAAGTAAAGGATTAGAAAGCCTGAAGAGCTGAACGAGGAAGACACTGAGGTCCTAAAGGACAGAAAAGCTACGCTGGTGAAGGAGCCAGGTCTCAGAATCACCTCATGGGAAAAGTCCCTCACTGCCCAGGATAACACAGGACTGATGGAAACGAAATCACCCCCTGGCTTCGCTAGCAAACTGCCGAAAGCTGTCTCTTGTCAGTCCCCAGGACTGAGAGATTATCTTTACTTATATGACACCCTGCCTATGTTATCCGTATGTTTACCAGTTTATTTGCTCTCGGTTGCTTTTCATCCTCTTGCCTATGGGACTGTTTTCCTTCTGTTTCTGAAGTACAGCCTGCACAAGTTCCCTGAGGATTACCCTATTGTCCTGTAAACGCTCCAGTTTTGTTTAAGGGAAAACACCTGACTTTGCTGTGACTGTGGCTTCACCTGTTTCTGGCAGCTTTGAAGATAATTTATTTTACAGTTGTTCTGGGAGCTTTACTGCCAGTGTAATGGTGCCCTCTAGCTTCTGAGAAGCAAGATGACTGCTACAGGTGCCCTCCGTGTCTTAGACGGGACTGCTTTTCAGATCTCTGTATCTCTAATAGTCTGCATTTTTCTGTATCTTCCCACGCAGCTTTATATCGATGTATCCTGCTTGATATTTGTTAATTATGCTTTCTGTACCCATGGGTTCATGGTTTTCTTTAGTTCTAGAATATGCTCACCTACTTTATCTTCAAATACTGGGTCTCTTCCACCCTCTCTGTTCTATTCTTCTAGGACTCCGATTAAAGAATATTATAATACTGGTGTCCTCAAACACAAGTGTGTGTCATGATAGACTCCTTCAGGCTATGTCTATGTGACAGTTGTGTAACTACTGTGACAGTTGTGCTGAACACAATGCAGCCCAGGCAGTCACTCCACACTTGCTCACACTGCAAGAACCTGTTTACCTCATGGAATATTTTACAATCGGGTAAGGGTAGCCTGTTGTAAGTTATTTTATAATCAAATGGGAATTTAAATGGATTCTTTCCGAGTTAATAAATGCTTTATGCGTTCTTGATTTTAAATTTTCCTTGTAAAATTTTGTGCCTGTTATCTGATAACATTCTGCAGAAATATGACTTATAAAAAGCACTAAAATGATATGTTAAGATGGTAGCTTACCCCCTGTAGTGCAGATGAAGCAGGACACAGACTCCTAGTACTAATTTTTTTTTCTTTTTAGTACTGCGGATCGAACTCAGGACCTTGTGAGGTACGCAGCGGAACCACAGAGCTAAATCCGGCCCCTCCTAGTACTAATTCCGACCATGATTATAAGCAGCAGCTGCCCTCTAATCATACTTTATATCCAAAGTGCCTGATCTCCAGGTAAGATTATAATAATTAAAGCTTTAAGATTGGTGCAAATGACCTTCTAGGAGTTCAGAGACCAAGGCTAAGGAAGATTATCAGGCTAAGAGAACATCCAATGTTTTGGCCCTGACCCTCCAAGGAGAAGCAGGACCCGGGGCATGAGGGCCCCTGTAAGGGGTCTGCAACTCCAGGGAGCCATCCGGCCTCCTGAGCAGGGTGGTGCTGGACCCGAGGACAGGAGTCAGCCCGCATGCAATCTGCAAAAAGCAGATCAGTAAAGAGGAAATGGCCCCAGCTGTGTCACAGCTGTGTGACTGAAGGTCATGTTGGGCTTTGTTTCTGATGGATCCCAAACTCTGTGTGAGGTGAGGCAAAACTTTTATAATTTTTTATACAGTAGATGTTGGTGCTTCACCCAGGTGTTTTTTTTTTTTCAATTTTACAGAAATGATGTGCCCTAGCCTGGGGTGATGGCACACACCTGTAATCTCAGCACTCTCAGAGGCTGAGGCAGGAGGACCGCAAGTTTGAGCACAGCCTGGGCAACATAACAGCGAGATCCTGTCTCAAAACACGAAAAGGGGCTGGGCATGTAGCTCGGTGTGAAGGTCCAGCTTCAATTCCCAGTACCTCAGCCCCAGTAAAAAACCCTGGAGCCTGCACGGCTCACACACAGAATCCTGAGAGTGCCTGCGAGCTCAGGGCCCAGGCAGGCCTCCTCCTGACCACCACGCGTGGGTGTAGGACTCCAGCTCCCTCGTCTGAGACAGGGGCGGTGCTGAGGAGCGCCGTTCACTGGGGAGTTCGTCTGCGTGCTCAGCTGCAGCTGCCCTCTGCAGGACTTGAGAGCTTGGCAAGAGCTCAGCCTCAGGTGGCTTCCTCACCCGCACTGGCTGTCCTGCTCCTCCCTGTCCCGCTCCTTCTCTCTGGACACACGCTCTTCCCTAATAAGCACCAGCACACAGAGCTTTGTCTTAGGGTCGGCTGCCGGGGAATCTGACCCGTGACACCTACTGAGAGGGAAAGGACGGTTACAGATTTACCTTTTGTAGTTGATGTTGAGATTGGCAGTCATGACAACGCCTCCAGCTCTAAACGCACACATGCCAGTGGTAGCATCAATCATGGTTGCAATGGCGCCACCGTGAGTGAAGCTGGTTACAAGAAGGAAAGAGAAATGCAGTCAGAAGGCCCAGGAAACTGGAGCTAAACATCTTCACAGTCATTTAGTTTTTTGTTTTTTGGTTTTTGAGACAGGGTCTCACTGTGTAGTTGTGACTGACCTGGAACTCACTATGTAGCCCAGGCTGGTCTTGAACTCACAGTGATCCTCCTGCCTCAGCCTCTCGAGTACTGGGATCACAGGCGTGCGTCACCACGCCCGGCTTCACACAGTCATTTGGAGAGGCCCTCTGAGTCTGCGTTCAGGACACTGAATGTCAAATCAATGTCACTGTGCTTAAACCACAGTAGTGTGGTCTTAAGCGCTTATAATAAAATCATAATCACATCACAGCAGGCAAAGATCTAAATTATAATTTAGAAAATTTCTATTTTTACTAAACAAACGACACACATTCACTGTTTACAAATTTAGGTATGGGCTGGGGATTTAGCTCAGCGGTTCCACCACCTGTGCAAGGTCCTGAGTTTGATCCATACCAAAAAAATAATTTAGGATATGCAGATTAAGCAGAAGAAAAAATTAAGGCCCATAACACTACCATCCAGTCAGGGCTAAACCACTGTTTACATGTTACTTACAGTCTCTCGAGTTAGACTTGATTGCCCTGTGTCCTACATTAATATATTAAAATGTTAATAAACAATATAGATAATACGTATTTTAACAATATACTATAAACATCTTTCAGTGTCAATAAATATATATTTACATTACCATTTGGGGGGTTATCGGGGATCAAACTCAGGCCCTTGTGCTTGCCAAGCAGGTGGCAGAACCGCTGAGATAAATCCCCAGCCCTTGCCATTTTAATGTTTTCTCTGCACCCCTGGATACATAAGGAAGCCAGGAGAGAAAACCTTTCTTATCCACACCTCAAGGGCATCCTTACCCGGGTGCGCCCTGCAAATAAGGACCTGCTTGAAAAAAGCAAACTACTCTTTTCTCAGCATCATTGCAGAACATCACGTATTCAAAGCCCAGGCCGTCCTCAAAGCTTCGGGTGAAAAGCCGGGCCTGTGAAATTTGTTCTTTCGGAAGCTTTGGGTCTGTAAAGAAACAAGTATATTGGCAAAGTTGGGTGAGAAACAGGAGGGAAACGCCACGGCAGAAGTGCTTGTACTTGGCTTGACTCACTTGCCCACTGATAAGTGATGATTTTGTCAGCTGGGGAAAAAACTAAAAGGGGTGGGAAGGTGGCCAGGACAGAATACAGCTGGTCTAATTGGGGACGAACTGAACACACATTAAACGAAAACAAGTACTTAACCACACATGGGAAGCACAAAATACAGTCTGCAAATGCTAACAGTAAACTGGATAAAACGGCAAGTTACAAACAGGAACTCTTCTTGGAGGAGTAAACATGGTTTAAATGAAATTTAAAGAAAATGAAAAATCTAACAGTAACTCTAGCAGACCTGAGGTTAACCTGTTAGTTGTACTGAATAAGAAACAGGGTTAAGGGCCAGGGATTTAGCTCAGTGGTTCCGCCACCTGCCTCGCAAGTGTAAGGTCCCGAGTTGGATCCCCGGTACCAAAAGACAAAACAAAACAAAAAAGAAACAGGGTCAACTTCAATATTCAGTGTGATTAAGATGCTAAGTCCCCCAGTTGAGAGTAGAGCCGGCAGGGTCATGAAATCAAATTAGTGGGTTGCAACCAGACTTTACAAAGAAACAGAATTTGCTGGCCATGGTGGCACACACCTGTAATTCCAGCACTCGGGAGGCTGAGGCAGGAGGACTGACACGAGTTCAAGGTCAGCCTGGACTACAGACAGACCCTGTCTCAAAACAAAAGAAAACAGAATAGTTCACATATATTCTGGGACGAAGTACTAGTGCCACTGTTTAGATACGGTTTCTTCACTCAGAATTCCACGAAGGGCGGGTGTTCTGCGCTGAGTCAAAATGTAGGCCACTTTGAAAGCGACTGACTTAATGAAAGGTACATTTGTCCTTTCATATCTATTTTAAAAGTGAATCCTCTATACGCTTAGCTTTCTTTCACAGGTCATCGTAATTTGTCATGTATAAGAGTATTTACATCTCTTTCTACTGAACTACATTTAAACACTTGGAAGAGGACGCGAGATAGGAAGACCTGGGAGAAGTGAGACTAGGGAGGGTGTCCTTTATTCAGGCCTCGAGTCTCCTGGGCAGGCACTCCTTTAGGCTGTGTGCCCAGCGGGCACGGACACGCCCACAGAGTAGTGTCCAAGCAGCTGCCAGGGAAAGTCAGGACTCGGCGGGCCAGACGAAGAAACTTCAAATCGTGGCAGGAAGAACACGGCCTAGAGGTCAAGGCAGAGGAGACAGAAACCTGGTGAGGGCACAGCCCACGTTTATCGCAAAGTGCCAACACCACAATTAAATCTGAATGCCGAGGTTTCAGTTTAGAAAAAACAATTGTATATTAACTTTTTTGTCTTAAGAGAACAAATAGCACGCATGCCATTGGTTTATCACCATGGACCAAGGAATTAAAATTCTTAGTCTTGCCCCAGCCTAGAACTGGCTCCTTGGCTCCCTAGTTTCTCCATACAATGACATGAACGTGACATCTCTTCTCATGCTGACGTCAGAATGACATGGTCATCTTCAGGGCTAGATAAGCATCTCATTTTTTACATAAGCGTTCGAAATTTCTGGTCTGGATCACCAAACCTCGAGAACATCTCACACACACAAAAAAGGGACAGCGGAACATGTCTGTTTGAAACACAGAACCTCACACCCACTGAAGCACAATCTGCCCTTGACAAGGCCCAGCGGTTTCTCACTCATGCAGCAGAGGACGACACTGGAGGTGGCAGAGGAGTAAAATCAATTTACACTGCGCATGGGGGGTGGTAACTAGGGATTGAACCCAGGGCCTTCACACTGAGTTCCATCCCCAGTTGTTTTTTTTGTTTTGTTTTTGTTTTTGGTGTTTTGAGACAAGAGTCTCACTATGTAGTTGAGACTGATGTGGAATTCACTATGTAACCCAGGCTGGTCTCGAACTCACAGTGATCCTCCTGCCTCAGCCTCCTGAGTGCTGGGAGCCATGCCTAGCGCTTTTTGTTTGTTTGTTTGTTTTTTTAAGTAGTGTCTCACTAATCACTAAGTTGCCCAGACTGGGCTTGAACTGGTGATAATCCTGCCTCAGCCATGCCTAGCTTTTTTTGTTTGTTTGTTTGTTTTTTTAAGTAGTGTCTCACTAATCACTAAGTTGCCCAGACTGGGCTTGAACTGGTGATAATCCTGCCTCAGCCTCCCAGAGTGCTGGGATTACAGGTGTGCATCGCTATGCCCAGCTCAGATTCACATTTTGAGCCACTGGGACAGCTGGGAGTAAGGGGGGCTTTGAGGGTAAGAACGGAGGCGGGAGGGGTTACTGGATCACTGTAACATCTCAAAGGCAGCAATGCCCACCAGATTCAGCACTTAAATCAGCGGCTCCTTCCATGAAGCCATTTTAGAAGAGCTGATCAAGCAGAAGCCAGGCTGCCCTAAGGTAAAGACTTTTATTTCATTGCGTGGATGGTGGTAGAACAGAATATTACAAATTAGTTACATTTTAAGTTATTTGTAAAATTTTAATTTAACAAATTAGTAATTATTTTTGATGGAATCCAGGGCTTTATGAGTGCTAGGCAAACGTTCTACCCATCTAGCCCTAAAGTTAATTTTTAATAAATTAATTAATAAGTTTAATCATTTAATAATTAAAATACAAATTAACTTTCCCTTCATTTATGTATAGAATAATTCTTAACTCTAAACTGAAAGGTCTAAAAAGAAACTTAAGAACTTCACTATTTTCTCTTGTTTATAGTAGTTTTCCGTCTGTTTCACTCACGCCTGCACCAGGAAGACTGAGGTAAAGTCCCTTGCCCAAAGTCATGTGGCTTTAAATTGTGGAACGAGTGTATCAGCCTAGAAATAACGTTATTTTACCTTCGAATTAGGGACCCACTCGCTTTTGGATAGACTCTTGGTCCATGAGACTGAATAAAATTACCAAAGGAGAACAGAGAAGGCGTACTAAGCACTGAGACAAGGCAGTGCCCTAACAGCGGTGTGTGCTGGGTGTAGGGCACGTTGCTTTGCGGTTTTAGAGCTGCAGTACGCGGGGGAGGTCTGAGTGCTCTGAGCTCCTTAGGGTGATGGTGCCAGGTGACCGGACAAAGGCAAACCAAGAGATTGGTGACAACAGCCTCCACAAAGGGTCCTGGGAGAACGCCAGGGTGGGGCCATGTTGTTCTGACAGTGGCTTTACATTCTCCCATAATCTGCAAGACCTCCTGAGATTTCTGGCCTATAAAACTGGAGGCTACAGAAGTCCCCATACTATACTCGTTCTCAAGTAATAACCAGTACTTCAATGAGTTCTTAGTTTTCGATTTGATGATCCAGTGTCACTGTCGGGAAAGCAGCTGTGCCTACCAACGAAACGGGTCTGGAAGTCTTGGAAGCTCTGAGGGCTGTGATTGTTCGAAGGCAAGCGTTTCCAGGAGCCCGCTTCACACTTCCTCATGAACTGGTCAAAGAGAAGTCGTAAGTCCTTGTTCCAGCTGGGGTTGGGGAGAGCATGGTCCCTGTTGACGACATTCTCAGACGCAAATGACCTCTGAAAGAGAGGAGGAAGAGAGGGTAATAGGAGATGCATCCTCTTCGGGAACATACTCTCTCATTTCCAAGAACTATACTCTGGCTTTTCTTCTTCCCATTTCAAAACTGAAGGGATGGGCCAGGGCTCTGTGCCCACCTCACAAGCTCAAGGCCCTAAATTCGATCCCTGGTACAGGAGAGGGGGGTGGACTGAAGGATCGCTTGGCCCAAGCTCCTGGAGAGAAGTGGGAGATTTGGAAAGCGTAAATGATTTGCCTGACATCACTCAGCAAGCCCCTATGAGCCAGAGACAAAGGACCGACATGATCGCCCACGTAACTGCACCCGAGGATCCTGCACAGGAAGCTGGCGCACAAGGAATGGATTTCACTTCCGCTTGCGGGTTCAAGTAAGGCTCGAACATCAATCAGTTGTGTAGAAATAGGCCAGCTGGAAAGAGTAACAAAGACAGAGGCATACTGCGTGCAAAGCAGGGAGGCACGGTGCAGTTCTACAGGGCTTTATTACAACTGCACAAAGTAAGTGCTGATGATCAGCCCCATTTTACAGATGATGAAATTAAGGCCTCAAAGAAAACTGCCACAGTGCAAGAGGAGCACGAGATGGCTGCAGAGACACAGGCAAACCTCAAGAAGAAGCAAAGTGATGGGCCGGGGATTTCGCTCAGTGGTTCCGCTGCCTGCCTCACAAGTGCAAGGGCCGGAGTTCGATCCCTGGTACCAAAAAAAAAAAAAAAAAAAAAAAAAAAAAATGCAGACTGCTTTGAACTGTACCCAAAGTGTTCTCTGAGGTGGTCTTGTTTTTATCTTGTAGTACTAGGGATGGAAGCCAGGTCCTACCTTGGCTACATGCCCAGCGTCTTTCATTTCTGAGACAGGATCTTACTAAATTGCCCAGGCTGGCTTCACACCTGTGACCTTACTGCCTCAGCTTCCCAAGTAGCCGGATTACAAGGTCACACCTGGCCTGAGATTTTAAACAAGGGAGTGACATGATCAGATTGGCCACAGTGTGAAAGACAGCAGGAGTGACCGAGGCTGGAATCGGAGGGCTGTTTGGAGGCTACTCAGCAACTCAGGTGAGGATTATGTCAGCACCTGGCGGAGTCTGGGGCCCAAGGAAAGGTGGAAACACCAGAGCACATCCCAGGTTTCTGAGCTGTGAGTAGGAGTGACAGAGTGAATTACCAAGCAAAGGAACACAAGAGAAATAGAAGGGGCCGGCGAAAGAGGGCCTGGTGTCGCAGTCATCAAAGCTTGTATCCACGGCGTATTTCTGCTGCTTCAGTACCCAGGTGACAGCTGGAACATTGCAGGGGCACTGGAAGGCTCAGAAGACAGAGTGTGACCCAGAAGGAGTAGAATAAAGCAAACGCCCAGATACCAGACGGGAAAATTGGCTCTTTTAACCACTGCAGAAATCTCGAGACAGTTAAGGCCCGGAAGCCATCCCTTCCAGCACCCTTGTCACTTCATTCGGATTTAACGTAACCTGGATTGTGTCCCTGGGCCAGAACAGGAGCGCTGCTCCTGATGTGATGAAAGAACCAGCCTCCCGCTGACTCATGGGCTGGCTGCAATTTCTGAAGAACAGGGGAGTGCAGATCCGCCTCCCTTGGGGACTCTGCGCAATTAAAAACCAAAGGGAGTCCACACTGTGCACCAGCGGGAGGGAAACGCGGCAGGGACGCAGGGCTCTGCCTTTAGCCCAGGACTGGTGCTTTTCTCTGGTGTGTCTCATCGGGTTATCCCTTTGGAACCCAGCTCAGAAAATCTGGGAAGGAAAGGAAAACAGAAGAACTCTCCCTGTAACTTCTTTATTTTTTGTTTTTTTTTTTCTATCTACCTGTTATACTTTGTGTTTTTCTGGCATAGCTTTGGTAGCAAGATTTTTTTATGGTCCTGGGGATGAACTTAGGACCTCACACATGCTAGGCAAGCGCTCTGCCACTGAGCTCCGTACAGGTTTTGCAGAGTCCATAATGGGACAATGGGGTAATGGTAAAGTTCATTCAATAATCTGTGTATTTCTTTTTTTTTCTACACTGCTTATTCCCTCAGATGTGTCCATCTAGTTTTATTTTTTCATTGAAAATTGAACATATTTGGGGGATAAAAGGAGGTAATTGCATACATTTATACAATGTTTAATGATCAAATCAAGATAATTAGCATTTCTTTGTCCTTAAACATTTACCATTACTTGGTGTTGAGAACTTTAAACTCTTGTCTTTTGTTTAATAAAGTGAGTTTTTATAAACTTGCCGGGCATGGTGGACGAGGTCAAAGCCAGCCTGAACTACATAGTGAGAACTTTGTCTCAAAAAAACCACAAAACATAAACAGTTATAAACTATAGTCCCCCTACTGTGTTGGAAAACTTAGTACTTACTCATGTGTAACTGTAGTTTGGTACTGGTCATCCAGCTTCTCTCTCTCTCCTTCCCTCCTTCCCTTCCTACAAGTGATCACTACTCTACTTCAATGAAATAAACCTTTTTAAGGCCGGGGATTTAGCTCTGTGGTTTCGAGTTCGATCCCTGGTACCAAAAATAAATAAATAAATAAACAAACCTCTTTAGTTTCCACAGATGAATCAGAACATTTAGGATCTGCCTTTTTGTGAGCACTCCTCCAACCTTTTGAAATGTACTTTTTCTTAATATATTTGTCATCTCAAAATTTCTCAGCACAAAAAAATCCTTTAAACTGATGTACTATACTGTGCTTAATCATTTTTATTGTCTCCAACTGGATACACTGCTGCATGCTGCAACCCTAGCACAAGAGGCTAAGACAGGGATATCTGGAGATCAAGGCCAGCTTGGGCCATCGCAGTGAGACCTTGTCTCAAAAACGAACACTGAGTTGATGATCTTTTGCTGCTCTAAATGAAAATGTTTTCTGAGACATTATGAACACAGTATTCTCTCACTTTTGGATTATTTCCAATATAAATCCATTCCCAGTCATGTAGTTTTCAAGTTCCTGAGCTCTAGAAGTAAGCTAGCAAACACAACGCATCATAGATTAATATGCACTGACCAGTAACAGGGCTAGTGAGAGGCGCAAGTGTGCACAGGCTTTAGAAGTACGAATTTGGGCTCAGCCACCGTTCTCTTCAATGGTTACAGTGGCAGCTTTGGCAGCACATACACCAAAGCCCAGTTATGGGAGACAGTTTTAGAGGACACAAGGACAAAGATACATGTATTTTTCAATATTAAGAAATACTTACATTTGACATATGTTTATGACATAAAAGGACATAAATAGCACATCACACTTGTGATTTCACAAATGTAACTTAGGATGGAGCTAATTTTTTTGTTGTTGTTTTGTGAGACAGGGTCTCACTATGTAGTCGAGACTGACCTGGAACTATGTGGCCCAGGCTGGTCTTGAACTCACAGCAATCCTCCTGCCTCAGCCTCCCAAGTGCTGGGATTACAGGCATGCACCACCACGCCCAGCTTAATTTTAAAAAGGAAGTCTAAAGAATCATGAAGGTGGTATTTGAACAAAACATTTTTTTTCCCATTATGTAAGTCAGTAACACAGTTTCTGTTTTGTTTTGTTTTATTTTTGAGACAAGGTCTTATTATGTAGCTCAAGGCTGGCCTTGAACTCACTAGCCCAGGCTGGTCTGGAACTCATGGTGACCCTCCTGCCTCAGCCTCCCAAGTGCTGGTATTATAGGTGTGCACCATCATGCCTGACCAAAACCAGGTTTTACAAAGTTCCATCTGGTGCCACTGAAACGGGAAGAAGCAATAGTGGGGCAACCAGGTCAGAGACTGCTGAGAAGAGCCGGGTGAGATACGATCAGAATCTTAATGAGGTACAGAGTACTGAAAAGAAAAGTTTTAGGAGATATTTAGCACCCTGGAACCAAAGATGAGGGGAGTTACTGATTGTGGGGAGAAGCACACAGAGGAGTCTTGATTCCAGAGTTGTGGCTTTGAAGATTCTGGTGGTTAGAAGGAAAAGGGGTGTGAGGGTGTGAGTGTGTGTGTGTGGCAGAGGGTATGTGGAAGGAGAGAATAGGAGTGGGTCTACTAATTTTAGTTTGGGGTAGTTTGTTTCCCTAGATGGCAAAGAAAAACAAAGTTTTAGTTCACGAAGGTGAGAACCAAGAGACGCCTGAAATACGTGAACTTGTGAATTCACAGAGACAACACCTGAGGAGGAAACGTTAGTGATATGCATTACTCTTGGTTACCCTAAATAGGTCACGTTTGATCTTTGGTTACACATTTATAAAGGCGGGCCTTATAGGAAAAGTTATGACTTCTTTTATGTCTTCTTTTAAGACTAAATTACTGAACAGAAAGAACCATGACTTATAAAGATTGTAAGTACTAATACTTAAATACTCTCAGCACAGATTACAAGGCACCAATGTATAATTAAATCAATTCATCTTTATTGTAAGATCTACACAAGATGTTTTCTAAAGGGCAAGATGGTACAGGATTAATGAGAAATCTGTACTAGTTTTTTTTTTTTTTTTTTTTTTTGGTACGGGGATCAAACTCCAGACCTTGTGTTTGCCAGGCAGGCAGTGGAACCACTAAGCAAAATGCCAGGCCCCAACCTGTGCTAATTCTTTAGCAGAAAGCTCCAATAGAGATGCTATACATACACATTTAATTTTGCAAATTTGACACCGTTGCCTAAACTAGATTGTAAACTCCTTTACAAAAAGGACTGTTTTTCTTTTTGGTATCGGGGATCAAACTTGGGTCCTTGTGCTTGTGAGGCAGGGGGCAGAATCATTGAGCTAAATCCCAGGCTCTAGAAAGGACTGTTTCTTAATCTATATATGAGGTGGGATTGACAAGTACGGTGAATATTTAAATTTAAAAGACACATTGCCATTAATCCCTCTCAAAATTCCCCTTTCAGATCCCCCCTTTTTTTTTTGGTTTTTAGAGACAGGGTCTAACTTACGTAGTGAGACTGACCTGGAACTCACTGTGTAGCCCAGGCTGGTCTCGAACTCACAGCGATCCTCCTGCCTCAGCCTCCCAAGTGCTGGGATTACAGGTGTGCGCCACCACACCCGGCATCTGCTCTTACTTTGAACACATTTGTCACACTGTTCTTGCCACTTTTTAAAAAAAATATTCTTTTATTTTACTTTTTTTTCTTGGTAGGGAGATGGGTTTAGGACCTTGCACTTGCCAGGCAGGCGTGGCACCACTGAGCTAAATCCCTGGCCCCCTCTTGCCACTTTCTAAAGCAGTTCTGAAGTCCTCTTTCAGGAATGTCTCTAGCTGCACAGCTGTGGCTGTCGCCATGACCTGAAACGTTTACCTTCTATCTTTAGTCATTTTGACTTTGAGGAAAAGCCAGAAGTTGGATGGTGCAAGTTCCGGTGAATAAGGTGCATCAGGACACAGTGTAATGTCTTCTTCACAAGCCTGCCTTTCTGTTGGACAGCATTTGACAGCAGCACTCACCTAACTTTTGATCGTACCTCCTAAAGACACTTATGAAAGAAGACTTTCAGAAATGCCATGGAAAACAGTAAGAACGACAGAAGGTGTGTTTGAATCGAGGGGTAGTATTTTTAGGAGGATTAATGGCAATGTGTCTTTTACGTAGTAGTTTTTTTAAAATTAAAACGTTCACGGTGCGGGGACTTAGCTCAGTGGTTCCGAAGCCTGCCTCGAAAGCACAAGGACAAGGACCGCGCCCTTCTACCATACATAAATAAATAAACAAACAAACGTAATTATACATTATGATCATCCCGTGCATATCACAGTGGCCACAATGACTGGAATATTCAAGCTTAATTAACAGTAACTGAATACACCAATGATGCAGCAACAGGTGATATTTATCATTATGTTTCAGGCATGGTGTTAAACACAGTCCTTGTGTTATTAATCTTGTAACAATCTTTAGAGGTGGGGTACAATGCATCATCTGAAATTCAGAAGCCTTCTACCTGTTCCGAGTTGGTTACCATTCTCAGAAATAAGATTAGCGAGAGGCTATCAGGATTAAACCGCCCGAAGGGATGGACAATGACCCACTTGCGAGTTGGGCCCTACAGCCTACGATGGCGGGGGCACCTCTACCGTGTATTTTCAAGGTGACCTTGATTAACTTTCCCTTATTAACATCAGTAGTAGAGCTTGTCTGTTCCTCAATAACCAGTCCAGCAACCTGCACGGCTTCAAAACTTAATCACAGACCTGTAAGGCCAAGACTCTGGGAGGCCGAGGCAGAAGGATCGCAAGTTCGAGCTCAGCCTGAGCAATTTAGCGAGCCAGACTCAAAATAAAAGGCTGGGGATACTGCTTAGAGCGAAGATCCTGGGTTCAACCCTCAGTACCGCAGTGTGTGGGGGCCCAGCACCACCAACAGGCCAAAACGAAGAACCCGGAGTCACCTTCCCGTCCGACAACAGGGTCCCAGGGTTGGATTCGCTGCCTAGGAGCTCGCGTGCGCTGGCGCAGAGTAGCCCGACCGCTTCCAGGCTCTTGGGCCGGGGTCGCCCCCCGTCCCGAAGATCCTGGGTTCAACCCTCAGTACCGCAGTGTGTGGGGGCCCAGCACCACCAACAGGCCAAAACGAAGAACCCGGAGTCACCTTCCCGTCCGACAACAGGGTCCCAGGGTTGGATTCGCTGCCTAGGAGCTCGCGTGCGCTGGCGCAGAGTAGCCCGACCGCTTCCAGGCTCTTGGGCCGGGGTCGCCCCCCGTCCCCAGTGGGCGGGGCTGTCCCTCGCACTTCTAGCTTCGGCCTTTGAGTTCCGGGCACTTTCCGCCCCAGCCCGGCGCCGAGCGGTTTAGGATGTGGGACTGCGCTCCTCTTCCGCCTGCGAGGCTGTCCTGAGGCTTCGCGCCCGCCTACCCTGGCAGGTCTGGGAGTCGCCTCTCTCGGCCGTGCTGCCGAATCAGTGCTGTTTCTCTAACATCTTCTGGATTAGATTGGATTGGCTGTTTTTTCTCCTCGTCATGGGTTGCTTCTGTCTCTGCATTTCTTAGGATCTTTGGCCAGGAATTGGATGTCAGATATTGTGAAATTTACCATGCTGGGTGCTGGGTAGTTTTATATTCTTGTAAATCTCTTTGAGCTTTGTTCTGGGATGTAGTTAAATCACTTGGAACAGTGTGATCCTTCTGTATGTATTGAGGACAGATCAGTGATTAAGCAGGTTTTCTCAATCGGACCACTTTGGCGTTGGGGGGCCAGATAATTCTTTGTGGTGGGGAAGGAACTGACCGTCTTGTACACTGGACGATGTTTAGTTGTGTCCCTGGCCATCCCACTTATGCTAGCAACACCTCCCCGCAGTCCTGACCTTCAGAAATGTCTTCAGACATCGCTGCAAGGTTCCTCAGGGAGGGAAGCAAAACTTCCCGGGTCCTGGGCTAGTTGTTTCCACTACTGAGGAGAGGCCCTTTCGAATGCCCGTGAGTTGTGGAGCTTTCTAGCCAGGCTGGTGGAAACGGCTGTGCTCTCAGCCCTGCAGGAACACTGGACACTTTTCTAATTCTCTCGTTTAGCTCTCCCGGCCTCAGTAGCTTCCTTTTACCCACGCAGTACTCTGCTCTGTCTAGAGCTCCCCACGTCTCCAGAGTTCTCTCTCTGGGCAGGTCCCCTCTCCGGCAGTGTCCCGTGAACACTGGCTAGGGGCTCCCAGACTTTTAACTGTGCTTTCTCAACTTGGGGTTCTGTCCTAGGCTCCATCCTGGATACTCCCTTTGATACGGAAAACTTTTGTGTGTGTGTGTGTTGTTTTCTTTTGAGACAGGGTCTCACTATGTAGTTCAGACTGACCTGGAACTCACTATATAGTCCAGGCTGGTCTTGAACTCACAGCGATCCTCCTGCCTCAGCCTCCCGAGTGCTGGGATTACAGCCGTGGGCCACCAAGCCTGGCCTGATGGGGAAAACTAATAGTGAAAACCCAGGAAAGGTCACAATGTAAAATAACTTCTGGCCTTGGCTCTGTTTAGTTCAGAATTAACTGGCACCCCAGGCATCTGGTCTCCCTCAAAAGTTTTGTAAGTGAAAAGAATCATTGTCAGCTTTGTTGACCAAACACACTCCCTTCCCCTTGGCCAGAATAGATAATTCTCGAAGGTAACCTCCCCTGACAACTGCGCCTGGGTTGGAATTCAGCTACTTTGCCACCGTGTTTTGGGGATCAGCAATGTGAAGTGAAAATGCAGTGTAACCAACGGAATGAGATCAAGGCTGTAAAAACCCTAAAGAAGGGGTTGTAACCCAGTGGGGATGATGGGCACCGCCATTAGGTGTCATCAGTCCCCACTGATGGAGTAAACGTTTTTTATTTTACTTCCATTTTGCCACCTCTCTGTGTGTCACTTGCCAATTCCTTCTGTAACACCTTAACTTAATGCAGGGCTTTCTCCTCATTTATTTCTTGACTTTTAAGGATCAATATCCTTTATCACTAGCTGTCCAGTGGCTTGAAAATGGTTGTTTCACAAGATGGAATCAACACAGCGCTTTTTTTTTTTTTTTTGAAAGGATAAAGCGTGGGGGCCAGGGATTTAGTGCTCGGTGGTTTTGCCACCTGCTTCGCAAGTGCAAGGTCATGAGTTTGATTTCCGGTACCCCTCCCCACAAAAAGAAAAGAAAAAACGGTGCACATACATAACTGTATGCTATTTAGCCATAAAAAAGATGGAAATTCTTTCATTTTCATCGATATAAATGAACCTGGAAAAACTTACACCTGGCTGGGTATCATTTAGCTCAGTGGTTCCACTACCTGCCTTGCAAATGCAAGGACCCGAGTTGGATCCCCTGTAACCCCCCCAGCCCCCCAAAAAAAAGAACCTGAAGACAGTATGTCAAGTGAACTAAAGTAGTCACAGAAAGACAAAGGCCTGGGATCTCACTGTGTCACCTAAAACACATGAACGGGCTGTGGGAGTAACTCAGTGGTAGATCACTTTCCTCGCGTGCTCAAGGCTGTGGGTTTGATTCCCAGGACTATAAATGAATAAATAACTAGCAGTTGAACTCAGAGAAGCAGAGATTAGCATGGTGGTTCCTAGAGGCTGAGGGATGAGTTGGAGCTGCCACGCATTCATTTACATCATAAGTCTTTGGGAGTAGTTTCTAGCTTTGCTGTGTCATTTTGTCGTTGTTGTTTTCTTTGAGACAGGGTTTCCGCTCTGCAGTTCAGGCTGGCCTTGAACTCCCTATGTAGCCCTGACTGGCCCTGAATTCCTGGCAATCCTCCCGTCTCTGCCTCCTGAGTGCTGGGATTACAGACGTGCACCACCACGGCCAGGTAGATGTTATCGCCATTTACTGTCATGTACTGCAGCCATGCAGGTGGCCTTTCCACTCCTGCTCAAGGCCTTTTTGTGTGTTGTTCCTCTGCTTGTGGTACTTTTGTCCTCATCCCGCCCTAGACAACTTCTCCTTATCCTTCGGTGTCAGCCGCTTTCTTCGTGAGGCTGTCCCAGAGCAAAGTGCTTACAGTGTGTCAGACGTTATGCTAAGTGCAGTACACACATGATTTCCTTTCATTTGAATTAGGTTCTTTTTTTTATAAGCCGGGCATGGTGGTGCACTCCTGTAATCCCAGCACTTGGGAGGCTGAGGCAGGAGGATCCTGTGAGTTCAAGACCAGCCTGGGCTACACAGTGAGTTTCCAGGTCAGTCTCAACTACATAGTGAGACCCTGTATAAAAAAAAAAAAAAAAAGCTAGGGATG